AAAGCAGTTGCACTCTTAAACCCAAGAATCATCCTTATGAAATGGTTGGACAGCCAAAGCTTCACGAAATGTTTGTGCTTTAAAACTCTGGCTAGAAGTCGGGGCTCGAAACGCAGTTTTCTATAGAAGAGTCGGGAACTTGGGCAAAACACAGATCTGCCAGGTAGAGGAATGGCATGTTTATTTCTTCAGCAAAGATTGCGACGGTATAAAAATGTGTATAAGTGGAACCCATGAGATCTGGATACAGATGAAAGCCGAATCAACGGTGCGATGAACAAAAGGGCAGTGAATAAAGCAAATACAGTAAAGAGAGGAGGAACACATACATATTTTGTGGTCAAGATGAAATGTTGGAGGAATAGTTGACGATGGAGGATTGAGGGAACAGATAAGGGGCAGTAGAGTACAATGGATGGCACACGACAGGGCGATATACGAGATTTGTGTTGTACACGTGGTCGGCGGAAGGGTCGGAAAAGTAAAACACAAAAACAACGAGAAATAAAAATCGTTTTTTGGGTAGTTCAACCTCTTACTCAGTAAGTACGGTAGCCTGGCGTATTGCCAATATTGGTCAAGGTAACTGGAGAAATATAAGTGAAATGGGCAGCACATGAGTCGAGATACATATTGTCACAACTCATCCGCTACTAAATAACTATTCAGGTAATATACACTAAATATTATAATGACAAATAGTAGACAATTGCCGAATTATCAAGCAAAAAGAAACAATCGCAAAACTACATAAGCAGCAATAAATGACACTGATTGGTTAACGGTAGATAGATTATCAACAAATTATCGGGACAAAAAATAACGAATGAGGCTCATAATCAAATTAATAAATAGTAATAAAATTCGCACCATGAAACAGCAACCGGATCGAGTTTGCCAGTAAAAATATGTCAAACCCAAATTCATAAGAAATCTGATAAAATAGTTCTATCTATTAAATACACTCTAGCGTTCAAACAACAGCCCATCGTTCTTGGTCATCTGAATCCGAGTCACTCAATGGTATGGCACCGGATTGAGCTTGAATTATTCTGGTACGTGGACCGGTATCATGTGCGTATACCACTGACGGGTATCGTGACGGTGATGTACGATTGTATCCATGGTACGTCTAAAATTGATAGTGCTCATTCGATTGGACTTTCGGGTAACTGAAAGGTGGGCACTCCGTATAACCTTTAATATATACATCGATACCTTTAACCCAGAGAACCGGTGACAAATTTTAATTTTATAGCCTTTACTTAAGGGTCTGGCTGCCTCAGTGGCCTTTCGGAATGTAGCCTCACCCTTCAGGTGACGCAGTTGTAACCAGTTAGCGTGATGGTGTTTAGCTCAATCCCTCAACCTTTATGAGCCTGTTCTCTGTTGAGGTACACCCTTTTTTGCTGAAACAAAGCTGCAGATTACTTGGATCTTGCAGATCCCTCCCTATTACTTACAAGTTGTGTCTCATTTATTAAGGAACACTCGTGGAAACCCTCGAAACCAGTTTACGGAGTCGTTGTGGACTGTGTGATGAACCCTTCATTTCAGCTCTCACAACAAAGAGCCATGAAATTCTCGAGACCGGCAAACTTAGAAGTTCGACTGCTAAGCTTCGCCTAACTCTAACGTACCACTAGCCTTACTGACACCCCTAAAAACTTCGAATGGTTACTAACCACTGCGTCCTGTCATCAAAGTTTCCTATAAGTGCAAGAGTACAGTACAATCGTTAAAACCTACATCTACATTTAATACATGAGATCAATTTATCCCGGAACATTTCTAAATAGTCAAAAGTAGCAGCGAATAGGGTATCCGAGTTAAAATGAAGTTTTTGTACCTCACAGTAACTAATGCTAGAATCACTGCCCAAAATAATTCCAGAGACTCAAATTCAACGAGAAATAGCATTCGGCGGGGAATGCGGAACAAACAAAAAAAAACTCACATCATTACCGGCCGGACTTGGCGATGGTATATCGTAGTAGTTGTCTCTAGGCGTGTAGTAGTCTTGGTGATGTGGTCGCACTGGTGATATAACAGATGGCGGACGGTATGGGGGTGAAGCGAATTGGCCTGCCAATGATTGAGAAGAATTCAATTGAAAATCTTGAAGGTACAAGCGCAATAGCAGAACGTGGTCGGTAGGAATCAAAAGAAAACATGTTTTCTGGTGCTATTTCGCATGCCCTTGAAAAATAAAGAAACACCCAAGAACCAAAAATGCCCAGAGAACCATACTCGTTTCGCTGCTCTGTTTGGGCATTGCTTTTGGTTCTGGCTAAAAAATTAGTATTTTGGATGACATTATCTTATTTTTAGATCCCGACTTATCAAATAATATCAGCAACGTGGGCGAATTGACGACACTTTCCTTTGGAACTTTGGTCATGACTCAAACTCTGAAAGTCTGAATTACCTGCATATGGAGGCTGAGCGTAAGGGGCAGGCCTCAAATCACCTCCACTAACGGGAGGCATCGAGCCAATTACCGGTAACCGACGCTGTCTCACTGAATTCGGCATTGCTTCATCGTCTTCACTAATTTCAGGTGGTGTCGAGTCTGGAAGTTAAATTTTAATAGAACGCCTAGTTTTTCTCCAAAACAGAAAAGTAAACTGTGAACAAAGTAAAAAGTCGAGAAAGAGTATGAAAAGAAGTTCCAGTCATCCAATTACTTGCTCATGAAATTCAGTATAAAATTTCACCCTGTAAGTGGCCCTTCATTTAAGGTGTTTTTCCAACTTTTGAGTAGGAGCCCACCAGTGAGAGGCACCGTAACCCTCGCCCATGCTCTTATCCCGCCCACCTGCTCTCTAGGAACATCCAGATATTTTTAAAAATCTGTAAGCAAATAAGAAGTTGAGGGATATTTATTCATTCACCGTGATATCTGGTGTACCCATGTCGCCGATAGCTGCTCGTAACACTGTCATCGGAATACGGGCTTCGAGCGTACTGCTGTGGAGGGTATGAGTAACCAGATCGTAATGGGCGTGAATAGTAGAGCTGTGCAGGACGAGGTCGTCGGGGAGCTGGATCTCGCACGGACATGGGGTAGTCAGACGAGGATGGCGGAGAACCTGGGTAAAACAGAAAAAATTAAGAGATATTCAGCAACGAAAGCGCTTAATAATACGTACTCGATCTGAAACGCGATGGATATCGCTCAGCTGGACTGGGTGGACTCATATTTCTTCCATGCAAGCTGGAGTAACGTGGCGATGGAGTTCTTGAACGTTGTGACGGTAACAGCTGCTCAGTCTGAATAAGTGAAGTACGAGGAAAAAAGGTAAGTAAAACTACAAGTGAGAAGAGCTAATCATGACACACGATGTGCAATTCATTCCAATTTCGCTTATTCTTAATACCTTTACATTGACTTGGCAGCCGGAAGCACATGAGAGGGTCTATTTGAAAGTGTACAACCTAGAGATTGGTTTCTACGGGTAAGAAGCTTATTTTTGGACTGCATAAGACGCGACTTTTGGACTGCATAAGACGCGACGAGACAACTAGCTAAGAAACACCGCGCGTTTTGGCCGGATCGAGGATAACGCCCACGCCCGAGTCCTATGGACAGTTCAGATCCTGGAACTTGGATACTTGCCATGAGCGGCTTATTCTCACCAACTTAACCACGAGCTTGCATTCGTCGTTAGATGGCTTTACTAGAAAATATTTATGAGCGAAAGACTTGAAAAGTGAGCAGAGTCAATCTTTTCACGAAGATTTTGATCTTTACTTGAACAACACCCTTCCGACATAGGCAGCTGGGCCCGCGCTCTTAGCCCTAATTGTAGGGCAACCAATAAAAATCTAATGTTTCGATTAACGTGTTCCCCATCAGAATTCTAGTTAGGGTATGATTTAAACACCTTTTCTCCAATATCTCCTACAAACAAGTAAAAATAAACAAGACCGTAAATCGATGCTGGTCTTAAGGGGAAAGCATGCAAAGCAATATAAAGGAATAGCGAAATGAAGCATGCATGCTGACGTGTACATCGGCACAAAAATCCGAATATTCTCAACCATTCCCTAGACATCTGACATCTCCTGAGCTACAATGGAAGGCAGATGCATTCTGAACTGTCTTCGTTTACAAAAACAAGGGCATCCTCTCACTTCAAGCAGCCCAGGGCTCAATGGCAGTTTCTCCAACGCGCCCATTAGGAAAGAGAGTAGAAGGGAGGAGAAGGGAAGCCCGAGGAAGTCAGTGGAGATTTTTCTTCGAAAATGCCCAGAAATACAGAATACAGAATCATATGGACCTTTCCCTCGCAGGATCTACGAATATGAAATTTCTTGGGCACCCTTAGAACCAGTGGGAAGGTACGGGGACTACGAAATATCTGATTAAGCTATCATACCCAATCATACCCACCTTTTAGTGGGCCCCGTCTTGGAGCAATCTGAGAATTCCTGTACTACAAACATATGAAATAATTGCATCTCGTCAGTAATTTCTAGTGCTTGAGATAGGAGCGGACCAGAAGGTCCTAGAACCCAATGTTAAGAAAGATCAGCCTGTTTGAAAGTCTCACGAAAAGCGGAAGTTGATACTGCTCGGGGATGTGGAGACCTTCGGTTAATAAGAAAGAACATAATGATGTCAGATGTTAGAGTATGCTGCCATATTGATCGGATTTTTGACCTTCACTAATTACACTGTGATCTAAGCGTACCTCGTCATACTGTGAAGATCTCTCACGATAGTAGTTGAAGCGTGGTGCATACTGCTAGAAACGAAACCACATAGTGTGCATCAGTGGATGCAGACCATTTACTAGTATTACTATTTCACGTTTTCTAATAGTTCAATAATCATATTTAGTGTGTGTGTTATACCGAGACTGTACATTACAATAAGTGAGTTAAAACTCAAAAATCGCCATTAATGCACGCGTTCAAGAAGTGTACAGACAGAAAATGAAGCAAAGTTAGATATATACGTGCACAAAATTGTATCAATCGGATGAACCAAAAGATATCAAACTAACTTGAGGAGGGTGATCGTGAGCACCACCTCCACCACCACGTCGAATCCTCGAGAACATATCAGACAATCGTCGTCCTGCCGTAGTTTTCGATCTGAAAAGGGTTTTACTCTTAGGACCGTTACATGCAAAATTTACATTTTTTCAAAAGCCGATATTGGAAAAAGTATTTAGCCGTTTTCAAGTTTTTAAAATGTCCTCCTAGAAGGGGAACCTTCGAACGCGTCAATAGGAAATCGACTGGCGCTGTACTTGTCTTGAAGTAGTACGTATTAAGTAATTTTATCTATTCGATTTCAAAAGTAGGCTTAATTTTTTTGAATCCTGAAACATGAGCACACAAAACAACTACAACTGTAATAATTCAGTATTAAATAGTGGCTCAATATGGAGGTGGGCTAAAATCAGACGGCCCCAGTGCGCTACCAAGGATTTGAGGACCGATCTAAAATCCTACTCTCCTACAGCAATAGCTGCAGAGGAGTTTTTGTCCCACCGACGAGCTTCTCTCAACATCAAATAACCTAGTAAGTACGCAATAACTTCCGGTGATTAGATCATCTGTCTACTACAATAACTATAGTTCCATCTGCACCCCTATAAAGAACTGAGGGAATGAAAAGCCTAGCTCTCTACCAAGAAACTCTTATGCCCACCAAGAAAAGTGACTGCATTATCGATTTTTGAGAGTGCACTTTAGAGGGAAGGGTGCAGTTTGCCGCGCGAAGTTTCTGACGCCGTTTGCTCGACATTGGACGATTTTTCATTTCTCGGCATAGAAAATTGTGTAGATGAAAGAATGTAGGAGCATTTGCTCAATAGTCAATGAAACATACATATCTTGCGGCGGAGAGTATCGAGTCGGTGTTTCCCCTCCGTCCTCACTGCTCTTGTTCGACTTTGGCGTCTCCTCGAGTGGTGTGTAGAGCGTGTAGGGGCGCTGGAAAAGCTCGATGAGCATAATAACATTTGCAAAAAAGTTGAAATGTATTAAATTGGGGGACGTGGGAGGACTACATAACACCACTACGCGGTTCCCGAGAGTAGATCATCGTTCAAACGGGGATATCCGTCAAGTATATTTGACGGATGATATCAGACACGATCAACTCAACCACTGTTTCTCAAGCTACCGTCAACAAAAATTTTACAAAACACATTTTCCACATCTCGAAGATAAAGAATAAATGAGAATAAATGAATTATATAGGAAAATCTTGGGAACGAAAGCGTATCTAGAAGGACAGGATTGTATTCTCAACTTCCTGCACTTATTTCTAGAAGCAGTTTACAGGGTATAATTAGTAACGGTATTGTTTTGATTGAACGAGATAATTGCAAAGAAAAACAAATTCTTAGTCTCGCGCTCCCGCTGTCCCTGCATATGTAACCCGATACCTCCCTAAAGAGATTTTTGGCCACGCCCCATAAAAAACAGACTTCCATAAATAATCGTTTTTATACGAATCAGGAGCTGGCTATCCCTCGAAAGCAGTTCAGGCCATCACTTCTCTGATACTTTTTAGACAGTCATTTTGTAACATATGGCACGGTAATGCTGTACCACTCTGCCAGCTACCTACGCCAAGCACAGCGGTGGAAAAAAAAAACATCGAGAGGCTAGACTTAAAATGCCTTGACATACCGGTGCAGGTGTTTTGTTGGCATGCGGCGTATGGTTCGGTATCAGTTGACTGGTTTCGTCGACCTGAGGTGCTGCCATGTGATTGACTCCTCCAGCTGCTTTAGCTGCTGCAACCAATCCACGAAGACCACCCCCAAACAAACCACCGCCACCAATCTGGAAAAGTGTATTGTAATGTAACAGCATTCATCTTCACAATTTGGGCGTGGCAGAACCAGAGTGAAAAGTTGGGTATGTGGGTGGATGGAGGGTGGGGAAATAGGAAGGGACAACCGGGCAAGGTCAAGCACACGATCAGAAGATGCACTAGGAATTCCTCATACCCTTCTCTATCGTTACAAAAGAAAGCTGTACAGTTTTGTCAGCAAATTACGGTTTTCCTCAACACAAATCATCCTCATCATACGCTTGACCCTGTACGAGGGCTGTATCGCAACACATGAGGTGATGGCGGATAGAAACGTGAGGTTGGGCTCGGGAGGTTCGATCCGGCAACCTGCTGTTGCTTGTCGAATAGCTGTTCTTGCTGTTGTTGCTGCTCCCATTGCTCCTGCTGTTGCTGTTGCGACTGGTCAGTACTATCACTTGAGTCGGCCCATTTGAACGTAGCATTACGACGTCGAAGCAGTAAAAGCGCAGTGCGTTGGCGTTTACGTAACTCCATCTAAAGTTTGCTGCCTTATGCCCTCCAATTTAAAATGCATTTCTGAACGGCAACAACGAAATGCCACCAATTACATGGTACGTTCGAAGAGACGGAAATCACTTCCACGTCTCTTGCATTCCCGTACAGCACCTTTGAAAAAAAGATATCGATTAGACGCGCGCCAAATCATGAATTTTGTCCCACGAAATGGAAACTCGCTTACTGTTCCGATTCATGTTGATTTATTATGTTAATTCCTCAAAAATTGAAATATTTCCGATTGGAGAGGTGTTAGCGAACCCACCTCAGTTCCACTCTTCTTCGCACGGTAATTCTCCAGAATTAAGAGACCAGCATAGATTTTCCCCACGGTCAGTTTTTGGAAACAGAGCTCTTAAAATCAATGAGGTAATCAATCGATAAGGTTTAAATTTTATTTTTCTTCAAACTGCTCTATAAATAAGCGATTATTAAATGAAAAAGTTAAATGAATATAACAGTTGTGGACAAAACATTTACCGTGATTTGGCGGGACTACTAGATCGATCATGTTCTTCTTCGCCTTCAACGGCCAAATCTTCTTCAGCGTTTGCCTCAGCTCTTCGTCGGCTTCATCCATCTCTTCTACTGAAAAGCGAAAAGTAAAAAAAAAGTCCGCCATAAGACTGAATTGAAGGTATTTAATTACGATTTCAGTTGAATGACAAAAGACGTGCTCAAGATAGATGAATGGCCGAAGAAGTATCAAAGACGAAAAAATGATTGTGAGTGCTCAACAGATAGAGTATTTTCGAAGGGAAGTTGTAGAGAAGAGCAAGGGAGATGAAGTGTGCTGACTTCTCTCTGATTGGCGACATCCTTAAAATGACCAATCAGATGCTGGACTTGTCTCTAATTGGCGAGTTTCTCACAATGACCAATCAGAGGCTACACGTATGTACATGGAAAGAATTGGATTTACGATGACTGGTACGCAGACACTAGAGCATTATCTAAACTCGAATTTTTCCAAATTTTGGACTGAATTCGGATCAAGAATGAACTAGTATGAAAAAAGAAGTAATAAGCAATTACCTGGCCGCATTTTAATGCTGAGACTCTCCCGAATGAGAGCGAAGAGGGTTGTTGTAAAATGTACAGTGCCATCATCAGCAACGGGCATATTCATACGGACCAAATGCTTGTATGCTAACCGATACGGACATTTCCGTCCAAATCCGACAGGCGGTGTTATATTCCGCAACATATCGTACATATCCGTGTAGTGGATTCGTCCGCTGAAATATTTTTCAATACAAACGACCCTGCCAATTCATTAATCAACTCTGCTCCAAAAATTAGATATAATTCTAAAAGCATACGTTGCTGCAGGATCATAGTCGGCCCAGACACGAATAAACTCGTCCAAGTGATGAGGACCGAGAATGGAGGAATCTCTCGTTAGGTAATCGAAATTGTCCATAATGACGGCAACGAACAGATTCAGCATCTAAACATGAAGTTTCGACGCTATCGAACAATCCCAACAGATTTCACACGTATTCGGTATATTTCATTACAAATTGCTATATTGTACATTGTGGAATAAGGTATTGATTAGTGGAACTCCCACCCACTAGAGAAGCCACGCCTCTTTCAGTACCTCAACAAAACATCACGCTACTACATAAGAGTACTCCCACCTAATTTCAGTATGCTCTAATTACCAAAACTACGATCTTCATTAGGTACTAATCAGAGGTCTTTCGTATTTCCTATGACTACCAATAGATCACAATCAGCCATAATGGAACCGCTACAGCACAAATTACACCTCCTGTTACTTCTGTAACTGTGCAATGTGCAAAAAGGGATTTGGGAGCTACGAAGGCTGTTCATCCCAACGTTAATAACTTCCCAGCAAACTTACCAAGAAGGAAGATAGAAACACGAAGGACGTGAAGTACGCGTAGCTCACATTGCTGCCACATGTTTGACCCTGAAAAAAGTCACTGCGCTCTATGAAACCGTAAAAGATTTCTCGAAGTCAGTAAAAATTTTGAATAAATAAGATCCAAATACTTTGTAATCTTATACCTTATCGTAGTTGATTTCATCTGAACCGGCTCTAGCACAATCTTTCTGTGCACCACATGCCATCATGATATCCTGCCACCCTTCTCCTGTCGCACATCTGCAACACATTTAATAATTAAAGGGGGCCAAGGGGAAAAGATCAAAAAACTACTGTTCATACCGAAATAGAAGAATTACTGAGTTGAAAAACGACTGGAAATTGTTGTGACGATTGATTTCAGTCGCGGCATTTAACCAGATGTTACCGAATACCTGAATATGAGAAATAAAGCTGCTCGATAAAAAAAGAACAAGAAAACAGGGTCGAATTGGTGACTGCTAGAATGCATGTGGGCGGCAGCAGCTCAAATCCCTCAGCCTGCTACTATTGGAGGACAACAGAATCGCACGCGATTATGCTCGACAGTCCACCAATGAGGAGGGCGCTGAGCCTTCAAGCCATGCCTAGTACGTCTGCGAGGTCTCAATGTTCCCACTACCGACAGTGAATACTATTCTCACAATTTTTACAACGCAGGAAATAGTGTTGATAAATTATCGGTAACAAGAAACCTCACCTGCATACCGACAATGGCATAAATGAAGAACAACATGCCGATTAGAAGGCAAACGTAAGGGAGAGCCTGAAAAGGGAACAAACTCTTTGAAGGTCGCCTAACAACTCGGAATATGGCCTTTGCCCCATCGAAAACGGACCTTGAAGCTCTGAACGAATGTCCACAACAGAATTCGAATGGTGTATCCTTGTTGTAGGAGTCGAATGAGACGAGCTGCACGAAAGAGACGCAGAAAACCGAGAGAAACGAAGTGACCTGAAGATAAGTTTGATTCAGCGACCACAGAATGTAATTAGTAAAGCTTGGGGTTATTATATGTACATCGCAGAGCACTTAGAATTTTTTTCATAGGAAAGTCGTGGCAGGTGAGAAGCTGTCAAATAAAAGACCACGTGCGCCAAGTTGGCATTGCCAGGTTAGACACGAATTTTGCGCGCGCGTGCCAAAAGACTCGATTGTGTCGCTCGCCATGCGCGGAAAGTTCGCGCGCGACTTCACAGTACAGAATCATGGGCATCGATCACTTACTACACACTAAACCCATCATTTACCCGCATCTCTTCTACAGCGCTACAACTATGCCCTCGAAAAAGTAAGTCGAAGGGTGGTATAGAGGAGGTCATGTACTAGTAAGGAAGTCGTTTGGTAAAGAAGTTGTGCTTACAAAACCTAGAGTACATTCCACTATGCCTAATTTGAGTGAAAAAAGTAAAAGATAAATGAGCAATTACTAGCACTAAAAACTACCTCCGAATTCGGTAACTAAGGCGTCAGTGATGGAACCGACAACTGTCACAAAATCGAATCTGTTCCAACCGTCTCGGAAATAGTTCTGGAATTATAATTTTACCGCATTGTTTACTCATGGATAGAGCACCAAATGAAGCTTCACAAACTGCTTAGCCTTAACTTACCCGAACTCCAAACGCTAGAATCTTCAGAATACTCTCTACAGTGAAAACAGCTGTGAGAGCAGTATTGAAAAGTCTAAAACCATAATCATTCGATTTTGAAAATACAAAAATCAATATCTTCGTGGTACCTTAGGACTTTCTCATAAAAATCTGAATTTCCATGGAATTTCATCATAAGAATGATTGTATTGCAACAGATCATAGCCATAATGAAGTATTCAAATGGTGCTGAGGTAACAAGTCGCCATATTCGATATTTTATAGAATTTTTATCTTCCGGCATGAACAGAGAGCGTGGTCGTGCGTTTAACGCAAAATCGATACACTGCTTCTGAAAGAGACATATTCATGTGTTAGCGTGACTGTGTCATTGGCTTACCGTACATTTTTCAAATTACATATGTTTCCGACAACGAATTTCTTCAATAATGCTAGACTTTCCACTCAGAAGGCCTTCTAATTTTGCCTCAGCCTCGGATCAGTATGTGGTACCTTCGCACAATGACATTATCATACTATCTACTAAAAGGTTTCTACTCGACAGCGATTCTTGGAAATGCTGGGGTGGGGTGGGAGAGGAAGGGGCTTCCCAAAAAATTGTAGACAACTTCACAGGTATTTTGTTCTCTACGTACTGCTACTCTGTGTCCAAAATGTAAATCTTGGGGGAAGCTGACAGACGTTCAGGATTCAAAAACGTCGGAAAATACGGAGAAATTTCAAACAAGAGAAAGAATCAAACCCAAGATCCCCTATTTTGTGAACAAAATGGATGCGAAATACTGTAAGGATTACCTGATTCTTGTCCAGATCACCTTCTGACAACTCAGCTTCGCCCTAAAATAGGAGAATTAAACCGGACGTATTCAATCGACTCTATTTTCAATACGATACTCAATCTTGAAAAGTCTCACCTGCTCTTGGAATGTGATGATAATCAAAGCAACGAAAATATTGACGAAAAAGAACGGAAATACAATGAAGAACATCACATAGAATAGTGCCACCTGAAAAAAAAATTGAAAAATAGTTCCGAATCAAATATTTTCGAAATATCCGTATTGCTCGTCAATGATTCCTTTTTGGAATCGCGAATGATCTTACTTTGTAGAAAATCTATAGTGGATCCCGGAAAAGAAAATGTACCCGTGCCAATCTCACTTATGATTGGCTGATCGGTTACGACCACCACTCACGGGTAAATGGGACACGTTCATCACTTGACGCGGATCTCCCAGTTGGAGGAAACTGATGAACGTTCGCTGTGGATTAGCGAATTTTGCGCCTACTCCAAAATATTTTCTTTCCATTGTTTTGTAAAATGACCTAACGATTTGGATGAAAACGGTTTCGGTGTGTATTATACGATGTTGATTTTCATAGTTAACAGCAAATTTGAAAAAAACGAAAGTGATACCTCGACCCGATAAAAGGGACTTGGTCCCTGATCCTCAAATGTTGTATCCATTGAGTTCTGGCGTATACCCGGCCACCCCTCACCCGTAGTCACCACAAACAATGTGAGCATAGCGTTGATGGTGTTATCATAGTTGAACGGCCTCAGCCTCCATTCTCTTTGTTCAACACGAGGCGGTTCGTTCTTTAAAAATATTAGAGAGCCTTCAAAGCCGTAAACAAACAATGAAAACATAAGGAAACTGCTCAGTTAGGTCGTGGCATACCTGATTATCAAAAATGAAAAACTGTCCATGACACTGATATGCGAAGCGCTTCGTTTTGTCAGTACAATAGAAGAATTTTCCATTGAAAAGCTGAAATAATCTTAATTTGGAAGTGAAACGGCAAAAGTGATTCCTTAGATGATCTTTAACTCTCAATCATCTAGCTCTCACAGAACAATGGCATCTGCAATATGTACAACTGCGCGAGCGATGGCGCTGCGGTTAGCATGATCATTTGAATCTTACGCTCATGCTGTTGTCACTTATTACTTACGACACAACGGAAAATTTTGGTCTTACAACACAAGCAACACTAAGACAGCATAAATCATAACTAACATACCTGTACAGCGATTACTCCGAAAATGAATTGAAACAGAAAATACACAATCAAAATGTTGAAAACGTTTTTAAGTGAGTTCACGACGCAATCGAACACAGCCTAAATAGGAAAAATCAATTAATGGGATTCAAATTGGTACATATCTGCAATTTTCAACCCCTATGCCCTTGCTGGTCCGAGGAACCGTGGCGCATGCGTTCCGTTCCTATGATTGGTGCGCCACGCGCGTCCACCAATCAGAGACTTTCATAGAATTTCAATTATAATTTGTAAAAAAGACCAGGGCTTAATGCAGCTTCGCAATGAAGCTACGTTATTTCATACCTTCAGCTTTGGAATCCTCTTGATGGTCTTCAATGGCCTCAACACACGGAGCACTCTGAGCGATTTGATGGTGTTCAAGTTTTTACCAGCCGATCCTTCAGTGCCACTAAACGAACGGAGGTCATTTGAATAATTGTAAATCAGGAAATGTTGGGTGAAAGAAGAACGTTTATGAATGTAAGAAAAGGTCTGATGGAACCGGTCAATGGGTGGGGCATTGGCGCAGTACTCCAGGTACTGATCGCGTCACGTGACAACTGGTTCCAAGCAAGTTGGGATTTATTAACATCGAACTCAAAATAGGAATAGCTCTATGACCCCTACAACCGAAGCAACTGGAACAATGCCCGTGAGAAGATTCTTTGCCATATGCAAACCCTGATTAGAGTAATGTGGGACCGTAGGCTCGTGTGGTGTTCTGGAGAGGAACCGAAAGTTCAGGACCGCCTCAATAAGTTTGCGAATTCGGACCACTGAAGAGGACCATCGCATGCGCTTTTTGCATCCATAGGGAAGGCACGAAAAACTATTGTCGATCTCTCTGATGGAGTAATGACAAGTTAGATTACGCGCAAACTGCAAAGCAAGTGAAACAGTGAAAGTAAAAAGGAGTAAATGCTACTCACGCGAAGCCGAAAGCAACAAGAGCACATGTCACAACAACGCCGTCGAGGATGTTCCAGAAATCGCGACAGTACGAACCAGGATGGAGAATGATACCTTGATCGATCAGCTGCAATAAATAAGTCAGTAAGCGTACAATAAATAAGCGTTAATCAGTTCCGCCGTGAAATACGCCGCGCACTCTATTTCCATTCAAAACCGCAAAGACGTTTTTAACACCTATGTCTCCCTCTGAATCAGGCCAGCCGGCATACAAGTCAGCGCCTGTGCCCTCCCGGACGAGTCTGACACCAATTAATCTCCACGCCTGTGGTGAGATCTTAGAATGCTGCTTCACGATTAGGAGATTCAGATTGTACGGGGTGTTGGGCCTAGTTCCTGAAAGGCCTATAGCAGCAGCATTTCGATACGATAAGCCCAACCCTGGAATGGGGGCAATTTCGTGGGATTTCCATCCCACCATTCTGGGTACTGTAGCCTGATGCATCACAGATTAGCATAGAGCATGTTGCGCGATGGAAAACGAAGGGAATATCTTCAACTGATATCGATCTCACCTTTAGAAGCATTTCGCATGCAAAAACACCAGTGAAGCAGTAGTCCATGTACTGAAGCACTTTGTTTCTGAAATAAACAACAACATTGATTGTTGTTTGAATTACGGTAAGCATTGACATCTGTTTATTCTACAGTATCACATGNCATGGGTTGTTATTGTTACGAAAACGAACGAACCTTGGATTTTCCTCATCGACGGGATCTTCTGCAGCTAGCGAAATTGATGACAAACAAATAACACCCATTACCATCATTTCGAAATATTTTGTACAGACAATGCTGTGAACAAGAACGCGTAACCTAAAATGAGGTTTTAGAAAGGAACTTCGATGGTCAACCAAAGTCAAACATACGGATTTGATGGAGACAGGAAGAACATCGATGTGTACGGAACCATCGGACGAGGTCCACCGAACGGAGATTCCTCTTCTTCACATTCCTCATCTTAAAAACAAATTACAACAAAATCATATTTATGGTCTTACGGAATACTCGTTCTCGTAACTGATTGCTTTCGAAAAGTCTATTGCCACTGTATTCTTGAATTTTCCTTTCTCTTATGCAATGCCAGCTGGTGGAGGTGAAGAAATGTCAGGAAAGAAAAGAAAAGGAAACCCACCGTCATCTTGATCATTCCCATCCATATCGATTGCACAGTGATCACCATCCTAAGATAGAAATTAGATTGATTTATTGGGATAACGGGACTTGACCATCCATTTAAAAATTTTTAAAAATTTTTGTTCGCGGCGTCAGCCCCAGATAGCTGTCGGACACGCCCCTTGATAGGAGTCCCCGGCGACAAAGGGCGTTTCAAACAAATGACCATTTTCTGCGAAATATCGTCACATATTTCTTTCTATAGGAATGCAGCATCATGCATCACCCCAGTGAGAAATCTGCAAAATCAGCTTTGTTTCTACAAGTGTGCTCAAATGGGATGATCGATCGGTTAACTTGGATACTGTACACAAGAAAAATCGATTTTGCCGATTATGAATGATGAATGAATAAACGACGATGAGACTCACTGGCTCCTCCTCTTCACTGTCATCCATCTCATTAGCTTTCTCATCGGCCTCTTCAGCTGCTGTGAGTTCTTGAGCGTTTGCCAAGTTATCGACGGCGATAGCCAAGAACACATTTAGCAGGGTGTCTGCATGAAATTGTTTGTAAACACAGAATATGAAATTCAATTGTTGACAACTTTCTACACTAGTGTGAGTACATTCTATATACATCTTCATGGGTTTAAAAAACAAGTAACAGTATAGGACATACAGTTTCCGAAAAGCACTAAGACGATGAAGTAGATACAGTACACCATTCCTCCACCATAGATACCACCTTGTGCTTCTATGGCCAGGTACATCACTTCGTTCCAATCTTCACCCGTGAGGATCTGAAACTGCTCGAACTTCAGTGAACGGTGCATTGATGAGGAGATTTACTACAGGAGCAATAGCGACTGCCATGAATGAGAAGCAAAGTATAGGAAAGCCTCTAGAACCGCACTAGATGGAGGGTAAGCCATGATTCCTAGATTAGATAGGGATGTGTGACGAATACTCACCTGGAATACTGTAATCAAGGCAACAGGAAACGTATCAAAGTGAGTGTAGGGATGCATCGTAGGAAAGTTAAACCTGCAATAAATGAAAAATTATTGAACCACTCAATGGAATGTACATAGTGATAGTTAAGTAGGTTATTAACCACTTCTAGAAGTTCTCATCGTTTAACTAATGGTTTGAATTCGGAAAACCTGAAGGTATACATAGATAGCTCGCGACATTGCTAAGCGCTCAACGAAGTAACTTGGGACTCAACCCTAAGTGCATCTACATCAAGAAACGAAAATGAATATCGGCTTCGAAGGCCAACATAATACTAGTAATGCAGCCCTCAGTAGTAGGCTGTTTTTGTTTGTAGTACGTTTGGAGGAAAACTCACTTTCCACCGAATAACTGCATTCCAAGCAGAGCAAAGATGAGAATGAACAGAAAAAGCAAGAACAACAATGAGATGATACTTCGCATTGAATTCATCAGTGATCGAACCAAATTACGCAGAGATACCCAGTAACTGAAACGAAAACAGATTAAAAAGCTTATAAAAAATATTGTAAGAGTATGAATCAATCCATAGAGTTGCTATATTATCACCAACTGAAAAACGCTTGAAAAATTGCTTATATGATCTTAAACGATAGCTTCAATGGCCAAGACTACAACTTTTTTCACCAACTGCAAGCCTCTTTTGGAAAAGGCTTTCCAAGCTACTCGCCTCACCCTTGTATGGACAATTAATCGGCACCAGATTCATTCGGTAGAATGCGCACAGGCCAAATACGCATTCAAAGCCCACTGCAATTTGAGTGGGGGTCGAATACCACGGCGCATCCCAAAACGAGATAGATCTACGCCAAAAGACTTTCCCTTTAGTGGAGTGGAAATGTAACAGTTCCCATGAAACCACGATGGAATTGGAGCTTAGCACACGATGGTGGTCTTGCTAGACTTGTGACCAGATGTCTTACGCCCACCGCACATGAATGCGCCGGGCACATGACCCATGAGGGGGTAAACACAAGTTGCTTGATCATTCGATTGATTAGCGGGGGACATATTAGAATTTTGGGTGAACAACAAAAACACGGAAATGACAGGCACATGGGACAGACGCATTCCCATACATATATCGGTTGTTACGGAAGGTGAATAGAGAATCTGGAGATCTATACCGCACTTGAAACACTGAACACTTGCTGATTCGCCAAGTAGTAATGTAACATTCCTTATACTACTTTATCGAGACATTATTTAAACGAACTTACGATGTTAATTTAAAAATCCTGAGCAACCTCAACGCTCTTAGCACTGAAATACCGAATGAACCGCCTTTTACTTCGGCCCATATCACTTCGAACGCTGAGCCAACGATGACAATGCAATCGAAACGATTGAACTAAAATCAGTATTAACTAGTAACGAGTAAGTTGTTGGCACTTTTATGGAAAATCACCTTCGATGCGAAATAAGTACGTGAACCCATTGCAAACAATTTGAGCAACACTTCCATAATAAAAATTCCTAGGAAAACGTATTCAGCATACTCTGAAAAATCGATCAATAAGTTCATCATTCAGATGGTAATCCAGAAAGGCCTTTGACGAAAAACTGACGCAAAAATTTCGTGAGCCAGGGTGGCTGCCCGTAGTGTTCAGACGCGACGCATGCCGTGTTCAGAAAGACCAACGTGATGACGGACCAATAGAATATTTGTGTCTTCACTATTACCCGCATTTGTATTCTGTAAAAACCAATCGATATTTTGTAGAAAATATCGATTTCCGAAAATATCCTGCGGTTTATTTTGGCTTACCTTGCTTTACGAATTCTTTTACATATAGCATAGTAGCAACCTCGACGACGACGTTCTGAATGATGAACACCATAAGATTACGGTAACATTTAGAGGCAAGTCAAGAAACAAGTGCTGCTGCATCATTTCACTCCTTTCTTGGACCCCCTCAAAAATTCTGTCCCCTTCAGCTCACGCAAACTGCAAATCATGCAAACATGCAAAGAACACGTGGTCAAACCGCTGCCCCAACTTGATGTGCTGCCCATTTGAAACATGTGCGATAAATCGATATATTGATTAGTTCCTTTTCAATGCTGCTATGTGTAGCACGTCAGATAAGAAATGTGGGTGCGGAATAGAGCAGAACGCGTGCGATTTCTCGAGGCCATGCACAGCACTCGCGCTTCTACCGAAATTTTCTCCTGGCTCGCCTCCCTCGTCGAGATATTCCTCGTCGAGTTCTTCCTCCTCCTCTTCCATATCCTCTTCAGTTTCAGTCGATTGTTGCTTTGAGGCATCTTTCATCTTCTTCTTTGTTTCAGCTCGTCGACGGCCTGTAAAAAGCTTTTCAGTACTTCTGAATCTTTTTTTTTTTTGAAAATTCACAGCAATTAGTAAAAGTACCATCGAGTATAGCTTGTTTCTCCTCCTCAGTAGTTCGGTCTTCTTTGAGAATCACCTCCTCGGCCGCCATGATCCACTCAAGGTAGCCGTTGAGCTCCCGCTCAATCTGTTGTTGTCGACGAAGTTTGAGGAACTCACGTCGATTTTCTACCCGCTCTCGTTCTTTTGCAAATTCTCTTAAAATACATAAGTTGAATCAACATATGTCCCTCTTGTAGAATCACATAGTAAGTAAAAACTTCTATTTAGTAATAGGGGGAAGCCCCAGCTCCACCACCACCACCATATTCTTGTACTTTTTAAATGCGTTCTAATTAGGATGGGGTTGAATGGGAATCCCATGACCTGCAGGCCATTTGGCCATCTTTACCGCTCCACTACTGAAACCGCTGGGGCTGTTGATTGTACTGAATATTGGCTTCATTAAATGAATATTATTGTTTTGGTTCAATGAAATTTTGAATAAAACAATAATGACGGAGTTGATGTAGCGGTATGTGGCGCACTACCACACACGCTTGATCCGGATAAGAGGTCCTGGATCGATTTCCGCCCAGGGTATCCAAATCCTTCATCTCTCCGGAATTTGCCGATCCGTGCCCCTCTCATATAGGAAGATAAAAGCGCTACCTTGTACGTCAGCTGGTCTTCGAATATGCCACATACGCATTCATACCAGAATCAGGATTTTGAATTGATTTGGAATGCAGGGCGCATCCCAAAAACGGGATCGATTAACGCCAAAAACTCTGTCTCTATATCTCTTGGACACTCAAGAAAACCAGAAAATTATATCGGCACTCAAATCTATTGCGTGGCAGAGAAGCAGTGGACAATTCTGGAAGCGCTGCTTCTAGGCCAATCTTCTAAAAATAGTCGGCTTTTTTGAGGGTTCGTTTTTCTCCATGAAGATTCGTCGCATTTGCACTTTCGATATTCCCTTTGGGACGTTGTTTGGGTAGGGGTCTATTCGACCAGTTGTTTAAAGGTAGCTTACAGGCCATATGTAGTGCGGGTAGCTTTACCAAACTCTCTCAGACTCTCCCAAACTCTCCCTGGCTCTCCCAAACTGAGATATAAGTCTCAATCAATTCATCAAAAATGCCAGATCAAATGGGAGAATAAAAGCTGGTGTAGATTTAGGATTTGCTTTGAAAAGAGAACGATTTGTGACTTTGCAATTCATTGAGACCTCCCTCAAAACTCGAACTTGGTTTCTACTGAACTGCTTTGTACTGCTTGCACGAAAATTGTGCTTCCCCAATCTACTGCATTCCAACAAAACTTGCTTTACTGGCTGGTATTTGCAAAGATCGACTAGGCGGCTTATCCGTAGAGGCAAGATTTGCAGGATCAGATAAGCCAGACTATTTCCTCGTCATGAGCATCAGAACTGACACTCCTCAGTATCCATGAAGGTTCCAACTAATCCACAATAAGCAGTTATCCATTAGCTTTACTGTAAATACTGCCTTCCTGTGAAATATAGCCTGTCGAAACCGTCATGAGGCCTTTAGCCTCCATCGGTAAGACGACTGGAACGCGTATGAGTACCCTCCTTGCAGAATCGTGGGGATATTCCACGGACGTCCTGCTTTTGAACTCTGTCAATCTTACTTTGAAAATTTGAACGTAAAAACTTGTACGCGAGATATTTTCGTTTGTGGCCGGATGTCTAGCGGGCGTTGCTCATTACTCGGCGAACAATAACGCCGTCCCCCTTATGCCGACAACATGAATTCCCGAAGGAGGGGAACGGCGGATATTTCATGAATGAATGACACGACGACTACGTAACAGCAAAAGCTCTTACCCGGACAAAACTCCCAGTACGAGATTCAGCATAAAAAACGAGCCAAGTACGATGAGTGGAATGAAATACGCCCAATTGTACGTGCTTCCTAAGGAGTCGTTTGTCTGAAAATAAGGTTTCTACATTTTACTACATCATTTTATTGGTTCTACTCTATGTTCAAGTAGTACTGGAGTAAATTTTCACTGCATGCTGCGTACATAATGCTCAAATTTTAGGCTATCGTGCCTTTCATATTTGCGGTTACAGACGCTGTAATTGTTTTGTGAATTAATGAATCAATAACAGAACCAGGGACGAGTGTGACATTAGATCCGATTTCCAGCAGGTCAAAATGTCTTCGAGAATACAGCGCAAACAAATTTGGCAAAGGCGCGTATTGAGGATGGATGAAACTCGGACTTGGTGGAGACTGAGTCACCTCATCCGGGAGGGCGTTGACCACCACTACCTCCACAGATGTTGCACATGGTATGATGAGGTTTTTGACCTGGTAAAGCACACCTCTTTTCAGCCATTCTAAAATGAAGAGGCCCTAAACAAGAAAAAGAGCAGTGGACAGCCCACAGCTGCCGACAGCTCAAATGCAAAGGATTTACGGTCTTTGAGCCCAGAGCCTATCCATGGAACTGTATCCGTCGTATCAGTACCTGAACCTACATTATCTCAGCTCCTTACAAACCTTCACGGCGAATAATTTTTCAAATCTTTTATTTTTCCAAATTTTTCAAAAAAGTAGTCTTGAATTCTGGATACGTTCCCACTACTTGCATTGCATTGCATTCGAATTTTACATTTGCATACCAGTTACCCCTGACGACAGTTTTCGAGGTGGAAAAACGATGGTAACGCCTGCTTCCTCCAAGTTGCATGATGTGATAAGTGGCTGGCACAGACCCCAGAGAGACGCCATTCAAAATTGTTTCCGCGGATTTTTTACATCAGTACCATATACAAAAAACTAGATGATGTAAAACTATATTGTACATAAATTCTGAAGGGCCGAGCGCACAATGAAGTCGTCGATGAAATCAATCATACGATTAGTAAGTAAGATTTATTGAATTGGTAAAGTAAAATGGATTGCTCGAAGAAATTAACGCTCACATAATACATGACGGTTGTCCATCCTTCCATAGTAATACATTGGAATACGGTGATCATAGCAAAGGCAATGTTATCAAACGATGTGATACCTTAATAGTAGTACTGTTAATAGTAGTACTGTAGGTATGTGTAGGAAAAAATGCCCACGTACCGTAATTTGGACCTATCCATTTATTAAGGCAGGTCGTACCTTCGACATCACAGTTGTACACGCCCATCGTGGTGGTTTTATTTGTGCTAAATTACTAAGCGTGAGTGCAGTACAGTGATAAAATCATCAATTTCGTTTTATGTTGCATTACAAAGTAGTACTTACTTTATAACTACGGAAGTTCAGAGTATGAAAAATACCTTGGAAAAAGCTACAGAAGATCAGAGTATAACAGACTTTCCCTAGAGTTATACGATGACTTACTAGTAAGATTTCCCTATAGAAGGAATGCCACTCGAAAGAGCCAAGTGTGGCAAATCCTGCCCAAGTTACTGGTGATTGGTGGGTGGCTTAAGGGACAATCAAAAAGGCTTCTTACACTTGTCGAAGTATCCTACCCAGTTAGACTGCAGGAGGTCGGAAAATAGAGCCTTACTAATGCCGAAAGCTGTCATCCATGACGTTCTCTCATATCATACCCTGGTCCAGGTCCCTTCGTCTCGTTGTCGTCCTAGGCCAAGAATTCAGGAATGAACCCTCGAAAATTTCAAGTACATAAGAGCATAGAAAAAATTCAGCATCACCGAGGGGGAGAAGTAACCAAAGGTGAGTATCTAGCGGAAATCATTCCGTTTTTTCTTTCTGTTCAGTCACTTGGGACGAAAACTATTTGGAAGGAGAGAAGCACAAGTTAAGGATCAACTCCATCCGATGAAGGGCCAAACAAGCGTTTGAAGGCTTCTACTACTTTCGATAAAAACTCGTTGCAAAACTCGCCAACCTATTGAGCTAGTTCTCATTCGTATTTTATAATTTTTTTCCTATTTTTAGTTCTGTTATCTATTTTGCAAATTTTTTTTCCAGAGCACATACCACGGTGACGGTTTCTCGCTGACATTTTCGATTTCACCTCGATCATTGTAGCAAGCAGAGTGAAAGGCACCCGAGTAAAACTCGAGACCAATGATGGCAAAAATCACAATAGCGAACAGCACAAGCAGTCCGATTTGTAGCAATGGAGCCATCGCACACAGTATCGATTTTAGAACCACTTGTAAACCTGTAATTTGCTGATATGAATATCGATAGAGTATGTTGACTGTTAAAATCAGTTGTCAAAAAGATTCGTTACTTTTTTCCCTAGGAATTTTCATGGCAGCTATATCGATCCCAACTTATTTGAACACCGTAATTGTGACATTCATCGATTACTATGTGGCTGATTCGTTGGTTGGTTTGTGTATCGATTACTGGTTGATCTGTATGTAATTTGCTACAGCCTTTCCAAGATTGTAAACTTTATTGGGCTAACGTTTCGGCGAGTTCTTTTCCTTGCGCGTATTACAAACCTCAAGAGCCGCATGCTGTTGTAGACACCAAATTCCGGGGTCCGGGAACTTCTCCCCTAACACGGCGTCGCACGCGCCGCACCCGCCGCCTATCGCAGGATTGCGATGGAAGATTAGAGCGCGCAATTTGTGAGGTAGGGAGTCCTTTAATTATTTGAATTGGCTGGCCGCTCTTTCCAGTCTTGATCGTCGTTTATATAGGAGGAGTCATTTTAATTCATCAAGTCTAATAAACATGAAAACTAAAAAGAAACAGANAGTTCTCATCGTTTAACTAATGGTTTGAATTCGGAAAAACAGGGGGTAACCTGAAGGTATACATAGATAGCTCGCGACATTGCTA